TCCCCGCAGGGCGAGGCCGAGCGCCGGGCTCTGCCCAGCCTGGCTCACCGGGTACCGGTGCTCAACGGGCCGGTGCTGCCGGGCACCCACTCGCCCGTTTTCATCCCGGCCGGCCTGGAGCAGCACGAGGCCGGCAGCCCCCTGTCCCCTCGGCTGCAGCCCGTCATCATCCTCGAGCCCTCGGTCACCCACGCTCCGCTGGTGGCGGGTGAGTGGCACCGYTTGTCCCGCTGGGCAGTGCCAGCTGCGCTTTGTGCCACCCGCGCCACCCTGACCCGTGTCCCGCTGCTGTCCCCTGCAGTGCCGGGGCTGGGGACGGTCCCCTTCTCCTTCGCGCCGTCGCTGCTGCCGGCCGAGCGGCTGTCCCTGCCCGGCCACCACAAACCGCTGGGCAGGACRCGCTCGGAGCCGCTGCCGCAGAGCCCCAAGGCCATCCCGCAGCACCTGCTCTTCCAGCAGCACCACGCGCATTTCCTCGACAGGCTCAAGCAGCAGACGCACCTGAGCAAGGTGAGACCCCGCCTGGGCGTGGGCGCGGCACGGGGTGACAGTGCCACCCCTGGACTGTCCCGGGTGAGGTGGCACCGTGTCCAGACTCGGGCACGGCGCTGCGCCCCTTCCCGGCTCCCTCCCCGCCCCGGGCTGGCCTGTCCCCTGCCACCTCCCCCATGTCGCTTGTCCCCTGGGTCGCAGCGCATGGCCAAGTCCAGCGAGAAGCCCCGGCTGMGGCAGATCCCGTCCTCGGAGGACATGGAGGCCGAGGGGACCCTGCCGGACACCGAGGGCGGGGACCCCGCCAGGACACGCGGGGAGCCCCCCCGGCCCGGCAGCAGCGGGAAGGAGCCCGAGAGGACGCAGAAGATGGGGCAGCCCCAGGAGGAGCTGGTGCTGCAGCAGGTACGGGATGGGGAGCCCCGGGGAGCGGTGGGGACACGGGGACCGCGTCTGTGCCTGCCCAGAGCCCGGGACAGCTCACAGGGACGGGGCAGAGCTGCGGCCAGCCCTGGTGTCAGCACAGCTGGGCATTGTCCCCAAATTACCGGACTTAGCTCYCAGATTTCTGGATATTGTCCCCAAATTGTCGCGCTCCGTCCCCGTTCGGGCTCTGTCCCATCGCTGCTGTCACTGCGGGGCTGAGCCGGCAGGGAGCAGCAGATGCGGGGACAGCCGGGGACAGCCGGGGACAGCTGGGGACAGCCGGGGACAGCCGGGGACAGCTGGGGACAGGAGCCCGGAGCAGCCGCTGGGTCACTGGACACTCCTGGCGGGGCTCTGTCCCCTGTCCCCCGTGCTGCGGACACTCCCCCGGCCCCTCACGGTGTCCCCTGTCCC